GTGTGTGTGTGTGTGTGTGTGTGTGTGTGTGAGTGAGTGTGTGTGTGTATGTGTGCGCGTTTTTGTGACAAATGAGGACATAAATTTGTATAGTGACAAAGGTATGACATAGGTATTACAAGGAGAAGGTGACTTTTCAGGACATTACCCCATGTCCCCACTTTTCAAAACGCTTATAAATAACACAGAATGGAGTGTATTGAAAATCTGAAATAGCACAAAGTTTCCTGTGAGGGGTAGGTTTAGGGGTAGGGTTGGTGTAGGGCAATAGAATATACGGTCTGTACAGTATAAAAACCATTACGTCTATGGGATGTCCCCATAAAACATGGAAACACAACATGTGTGTGTGTGTGTGTGTGTGTGAGAGAGTGTGTGTATGAGTGTGAGTGAGTGTGTGTGTACCTGGTATTTATCACGTTATGGGGACCAAATGTCCCCACAAGGATAGTAATACTAGTAAATTTTGACCTTGTGGGGACATTTTTGAGGTCCCCATGAGGAAACAAGCTTATAAATCACACAGAATGAGTTTTTTTGAGAAAGTAAAAATGCACAAAGTTTCCTGTGAGGGGTAGGTTTAGGGGTAGGGTTGGTGTAGGGCAATAGCACATACAGTTTGTACAGTATAAAAACCATTACGCCTATGGAGAGTCCCCATGAAACACATGGAAACACAACATGTGTGTGTGTGTGTGTGAGAGTCTGTGAGTGTGTGTTTAGTGTGTGTGTGAGAGTGTGTGTGTGTGTGTGTTTAGTGTGTGTTTATAGTATTTGCGTGATATTTCAAGGCACAAACATTTACATATATTCAATTAGCAATTGTTCAATTGATCCAAATTAACTTTCGAATGAGGAATACAACAAAGTTATTAGTGTTAATGAGGTAATACAACACGAGAAGTGCTAATAATACACCCAAGAGATTTTTATGGAACTGTTTCCAGCTGTTTTTTTTTTTTATATATATATATATATGTCCAAGACACGTTATTAAAGACAGTAGTTATATGGTTTGGTTCTGTTCAAACGCTTCTTACCTGATAGTTTGTCCGGGGATCGGATGATTCTAATCACATATAACAGTTAACGTTAAATCTTGAGGGAAAATCTCTTCGGGGTCGATCCAGAAACACGATTCTGACAGGATTTTCTCTGAGACGAGCTACTTTTACGCCACAAACACATAACGTTCTTAAAGAACGAGTAATAACACAAAATTGACGCGGGGTGCCTGGAACAGTTAATAACTTTAAACGCTGGATTCTGTATTGGTAATTTTCCGGGTTATTTTGGCTCCATTAAAGCAGTTGAACAATTTTTGTAAAGACTTTTAAACCAAGCACTAATGTAAAGAAAGAAATTACGACAGCTCGAAGATTTCTCATCTCCCGCGTTGTACTGTTGCTATGGAGATCTCAGGCCAACGACACTATTCGCGCGGTTCTTTATTTAAAAATGCTGATGAAACGGTTTGGTGTTTTTCTTAGTAAAACTAGTAAATTAGTTTGTAAAACAGAGTAATTTGACTAATTTTTAAAAGACGTCTATATCAGACGACACGGGATAAACTGACTAGGCCCGTTCACACCAAGGACGATAAGGCGATAACTATTATGTTTTAATAATCGTTCGACTATAACGACACAGAGAAACGATATCGTTGGCATCACGGTTTTTTCCGTCAGCGATTTTTCTTATGAACGCATGAGTGAACGATAAAAACACCGACAGCCAATCAGAATTCGACTCGGGCTCGATCATAAAAAAACAGATAATAAAAATGCAGCAAACATCAGTTGGTGTGAACGCTTCAAGTTTACAGTATAAAGTTAATTTATAAAATACATTTGAAAACAATGTTTTACCAAGTAGAGTAATGTAGTAAAAACTAAAGTAAATCGAATTAGCAAAGTGTTTAAAGAACGTAAACTCATTCTCATGACTCATAAAATATTATAAAACAATGCAAATAAGACGGTAAACCTCTCAGGTCAGAGGTCAGATCAAACTAATGCACCTGGATGGAGCTGTTGTTGTTTAACACACATCACCGTAAATCACAAACACTACACAAGCCCAAGATAAATTAATTTCAGAGAGAGAGAAAACACAAGATATGGATGACCTTTGGATGATTTTTCAGTGTTTTATTAAATATACAGTAAAAAATGTGTACAGGTCCATTAATATAGTATCGCCAGCATCAGATATTCTCACGTTTCAGCTGATAGCATGGTGCCAGATAAATGCATCTATGAGATACACTACATCAACACTCTCACGATCCTCCGGAGACAGTAAAGGACAACAGTACCGCGGTGACATTATAAAGAGGAGTCTTGACTGCATGGACCGGTTTCAGTGAAATCTTGCATTGCAATCTGACCAGATTCAGACGCATAGGAAGTCTGAACCATAAATGCATTCATACAGCTCTGTACATAAACACATTCTCTTGGCATACAGCTCTGTACAAAATCTGATAATAGTATAACGAGCAAGTGTTCTTTCCAAAAAGTGACAGACATCACATGTAAAACTGCTTTTATTTTATACAAGGCAACTTGTAGTAGTTTAGAATAAATATTTAACTCTATACACTGATATTGTACCAGTTATTAACCACTTTATAGTTTCATACAGACATAAAAATGTTAAAAAATACTTTTAAAAGCTCATACTCCCTGTTATAGTTGTACAGGATAAAATGTGACTTTTTAAAACATCTCTAGATTGCATTTGTTCAGAGGCGACGCGTTCGTATAAAACGTGTCCTCCACACACACACACACACCGTGTCTTAGTTTCTGTCTTGTGAAGAGTGTTTTCAGAGATGCGAGTCTGTGTGCGGCTCACAGCATTAAGCGCATTGAGGGACGCTGTTCTTTAGCGGCGCCCCCTGCAGGCGGCGAATGGGACGGGCCCTCGGAGGACGTCAGTTTATCAGGAGTGTAGTCGTTCCGCTTCAGATCTGCTCACGAACACACACACAACTCCTCAGAAACAGCCAGATACAGACTAGATCATTCACTTACAAATCAATCATAATTAACACAAACACGCTTAAACTCAAAAAATAAAACTTGACTGAAGTAAATGCTGAATTGTATCTACCTATAGCATATAAAAAGATAAAAATGGAGATAAAAATAAGAAAAAAATTATGTTTTCTCTACATTTCAATGCAACAAAACAAACTAGATAAAAAAAGTTTGTCAAGACAAACTTTAGGTTGGCTTGAGAAAGCCTAGCCTGAAAGTTTAAAGCAGTTGTAAAAGCCTGAATCATCATGATTAGCATGTTGCTAGCATGATTAACAAGTAACTAGCATGTTGTTAGCATGATTAGCAAGTTACTAGCATGTTTCTAGCATTATTAGCATGTTGCTAACATGTTAATATGATTAGCAAGTAACTAGCATGTTGGTAGCATTATTAACAAGTATATAGCATGTTGTTAGCATGATTAACAAGTGACTAACATGTTGCTAACATGTCACTAGCATGATTAGCAAGTAACTAGCATGTTGTTAGCATGATTAACAAGTGAACAGCATGTTTCTAGCATGATTAACAAGTTACTAGCATGTCACTAGCATGTTTCTAGCATGATTAGCAAGTGACTAGCATGTCGCTAGCATGATTAGCAAGTTACCAGACACACTGGCCAGAAGTCATTGTTCGTTCGGTGATTCTGATGAATATATATATATATATATATATATCTATATGTGTGCAGTCTGAAAGTTTTCAGTTTAAAATAGTTTAAAATATTAAAGTTTGAATGTTTTCAAGGCAATACAGTCTATCAGAAAAATAGATATAAAACATATTACTAGGGTACCTGGGGTGGTTTGCTAGGCAGTTTCTAGCATGACTAGCATGTTGCTAAGATGTTTTTAGCATGACTAGCATGTCACTAGCATGTTTCTAGCATGATTAGCAAGTAACTAGCATGTCACTAGCATGTTTCTAGCATGATTAGCAAGTAACTAGCATGTCACTAGCATGTTTCTAGCATGATTAGCAAGTAACTAGCATGTCACTAGCATGTTTCTAGCATGATTAGCAAGTAACTAGCATGTTGTTAGCATGCTACTAGCATGTTGTTAGCATGATTAGCATGCTACTAGCATGTTGTTAGTATATGTTTCTAACATGATTAGCATGCCGCTAGGACAGACAGATAGATGGATAGATAGATAAGGCATGTTTTTTCCCATCCTGCCCCCTCGTGACGTAGCTTCGGCCCACAGGTTCTGATCCAGCATCATTCTGTTCAGCGATCGCTAAACTCACCGGGAAGTTTGAGTTTTCTGCAGCACGAGTTACAGTGATGCTTGGTGCGGAAGTTTCGAATGGCATCGTCTCCAAGATTCGCAGGGCCAAAGATCATATCATAAGACCTGACACAATCAAATACATTAGAAGAACATTTATAAATTCTACAATACTATACAAGTTGTAATAGACCTTAGTAATAGACAACAGCACAATTCACTAAACGCACTGTACTTCAGTCCCTCACAGCTTGATTTTATTGGTCAAAAATTAAATTAGGTGCTAACCATGACTAGTGGTGTTGAAATTAATAAATTCTGCATCGATGCAGTAACGGCTTGTTTCCACCGAGCGGTACAGGTCAGTACAGTACAGTACAGTACGCTACGATTCCGGACCGAACACCCCGATCCAGCTTGCGTTTCCATGCCAACAGTACACTTACAGTGTATGCCGGGAAGTAGCGATGCACGATAAAGCGTGACAATAAGCACAACTCTGCCTCTCTTTGTTAAATGTCCGATTTAATGAACAATAATACCCATTATAAAAGTATAAGTACAAAGTATATAAGAGGAAATAACGACAAAAGAAAACAATTCAGTCAAACGTATGCTACAATTTCAGCGCTGTACTACAGTAAAGTTCAAAATAAATATATAAAATTAACTTTGTGCTCAGCCAAAACGATATGACCAGGAACAAATAATAGATTAATGAGACCACGAATGCCTGTTAATTTACCCAAAACGAATTGTATCTCATGTTTAATCACTACCGAGACCGTGATTAAGGCTGCTCTGAAATCTTCATAGCAAATTTTCAAATAAGCAAACCGCAGATTTGAGTTTTAAGCAACTACATTCTCGCCTGAAAAACTCCTAAAACTACATTTCATGACACAATAACAGTAATATTTAGAAAATTACACGGGTTTTTGGGCAATGACGTTAGACAAGAACGCATATTGAGAAACGGCTAAAAGTAGCCTTCTTATATAATTTAATAAAAATGCACAAAAATTATTTGACATAAAATGAATATGAAAATGGAGCAATGTGCCGTAATATTGAAAATTGAGGATGCAACGCATTGTGATATCGAATCGTTGTCATGGTAATCATAACCAGAGGCGGACAAAGTACTCAACTCCATTACTCGAGTGAAAGTACAGATACTGCTGGTCAAATATTACTCCATTACAAGTAAAAGTTGTAAAGACAGATTTTTACTTAAGTAAAAGTACAGAAGTACTTGCTTTTAAAAGTACTTAAGTACCAAAAGTAAATTTCCTTTTTTATGTCAATGCACTGTTTTATTATTGTTGTATGTAATACTTGCCATACTTCTGAAGAAACTTACAATACAACCGAATCGAATTGTGAAACCAGTAATAATTCACACCCCTAACCCTGACTAACATCTGTATTCTTAAAATAGAGGTCATTTTCATTCATGTTACAGACAGCATTTCTCACCCTTTCTCTCCGCTCTTAATGACTGACGGATCTGTCAGTATCTCGCCGACCCCTAGAGAGAGAGAGAGAGAGAGAGACAG